CCAGGCATGTGCCCTTGGCCGGAATCGAACCTGGGACCCTTCAGTTTGCAGGCTGATGCTCTATCCACTGAGCCAAGCTGGCTAGGGCTTTAATAATATTTTTAATTTCAGTACATTTCACCCAGACATTGTGGCTCAGTAGTTGAGTATCGACCCATGAACCAGGAGGTCACGGTTCAATTCCCAGTCAGGGCACATGCCCAGGTTGTGGGTTGTGGGTCATAGGTGACGTACAGGAGGCAACCAATGGATGTTTCTCTCTCATCATTGTTGTTTCTATCTTTTTCTCCCTCTCCTTTCCTCTTTGAAATCAATAAAAATATATTAATTTAAATACATGTCAAATTTTCTGTTGGTTGCAAATCTTTTCAAGAGGAAGCTATTAGCTCAAAATGTCAATAAGAGGTCATGAACTATGAGTTCTGGTCCAGTGATATTGAAAGTTAGCTGCCATTTGAATCAGTCTAAAACTACCATAATCATAAACGTATGATTTGACAGCTGTCAAAATTATTCACCATCACTTATGTAGAACTAAATACTTAAAATAGAATCTAGGAAACAATTTCCCTTTTATAAACCTCAACATCACTTCTCGGCCTTTTGGCTAAGATCAAGTGTATAAACCTTAGCAGCCTGAATGATACATGCATGCTCATTGCTAAACTGAAAAGTAATGTTAATTCAACTTACAATCCAATAGACATACGATGAAAGAAAACATCTTCCCCACAGACACTGCCAGGGACAATCTGACTGAATCTGGCACTGACCAAACAAGAATCTGAGAGGGTTTCCATAGAAGCAAGAATGTGACTTCCATTTTTCCCAGACAGAGACCCATCCACGTCTTCCAAAATTGCGGCATGAGGAAATGGAAATGCTACTACGTTGGGAGAGTTTGTAAACTTTAACTGGTTGGTCTTCACAGTAAATCCACCTATAAAATGGAAGATAAGAGTGTTAGATAAGGCACAGAAGGTTATTATAACAAATGGCAGCTGAATTTGCTGGGATATATTCAGTACTTTAAATTGCGTATTTATACAGTTTTGTTCAAGAAAAAAAAATCATGAGTGCTTAGTGTATGCCAGGCTCTGTGATATGTACTGGAGACACAGTGGAAAACAAGAGCAATATGATACTGCCTTCATATAGTCTGTATTTTAGGGCAGTGATTCTCAACCAGGGGTCATTTTGCCCTCCAGGGGACATCTGGCCCTATTTGGAATCATTTGGGGCTGTCACAATTACGTAGATGGCAGTGATATTGACATCTGGTGGGTAGAGGGAGGAATGCTGATTAACTTCCTCAATGCACAAGATAGTCCCCACAACAAAAAACTATCCAGCCCAAAATACCAATAGTGCCAAGGGTGAGAAACCGTTCTAGTGGGAAATAGAGACATGGAACACTAACTTACTAATTACTAACTACTAAAGGTGTCTTGGTTTAGTCTTTCCACCTGTCTGCTCCAGTTCTTCTGTGGTGAGTTTAACCCCACCTCTTCTGAGGTTTATACTTGAAAGATTTACCCTCAAAAGCAACTTTCAATCATGTGCACAAAGAGTAATAGTAACACACTTTTTAAGTATTAGCTCTACCAGTGGTTCTCAACCTTCCTAATGCCACGACCCTTTAATACAGTTCCTCATGTTGTGGTGACCTCCAATTTCATTGTTACAAATTGAACATAATTAAAGCATAGTGATTAATCACAAAAACAATATGTAATTATATATATGTGTTTTCCGATGGTCTTAGGCGACCCCTGTGAAAGGGTCGTTCGACACCCAAAGGGGTCGCGACCCACAGGTTAAGAACCACTGCTCTAGAGCTATACTTCTCAGCAGTCTGTCTCTCACACCACCTCCATGTGATCTGTCAGAACTGCCACTAGTCCGGTTGTCCAGGAAGGAACTATGGCAGTGGTCTTCTAAATCACACAGCCCTGTCATTAAAATCTTTACACTAAGCACGTATCTCTCTGTACATATGTGACTATACGTCTTCATTATGTACATTGTGAAATAGACAAAAAGGAAAATAAAAAAGAATAAGATACAGAGAAATAGAAGCCCTGATGCTTTCACTCGGCATCCCAGTGGAGTCCATGCAGTGAATTAAGTCCCGCATTCAAGACTCCGTGATTAACTTCTGGCAACTTCTAAAGTTCATCTCATACCACAACCACCTGAAACTACAATTCAGTCCTATTGGGATTTTAATTTTTTGCATATGCTATTCTTAATACTTAGAAACTCTTCTCGGCAGTCTATCTTGCAAATATCCATTCACCTTTCAAAACCCTGCTTAAGAGTCATCTCTATGGCCCTGGCCGGTGTGGCTCAGTTGGCTGAGCATTATTTCATGCCTCAAAATGCCGTTGATTCAATTCCCAGCCAGGGCACAAGCACAGGTTACTGGCTTGATCCCTGGTAGGGGGCATGCAGAAGGCATCCAATAGATGTTTCTCTTTCTCCCTCTCACTTCCTTTCTCTCTAAAATCAATTTTTAAAAAATATTTTTTAAAAATAAAAGAGTCACTTCTATGAAATCTCACCTGACCTCCTTCCTTGCTCTTTTCACTGACCTTGTTCAGTTTTCTAGGATTATACTCATCACACTCTAGTACAGAGACTAGATTAAACATTTACTTTTGGGCCTAGATTAAGAGCTCCTGGAAGAGAAGAGCTATGTGTTTTTCATCTTTGTACGCCCCAGTTCCTTAAACAAACCTGGAATAGACAGTTTTTAAACAAACAGTATGACTTAGCAAGATTATGCAGTAAGAAGGAATTAGAGCTAATAAGGAACAGAGTGCTTTTTTCAGTGTCTTATAAATGATACAAAACAATGAAGCTTTAAAAAACTGAAGAGTTGTGATTTGAAGTGAATGTCCTAAGTTATTTTTATTCCTATTATTTACAAATTTAAGTCAGATGCCACCCAAATAAAAACAGTCTTTGGCTCTGCTTATTCAGAAGGAAAAAATAAAAGTAAAGTGGAGACTTGCTGATTATTCATTTAATTAAAAAAACAAACAATTATCTAAATTGGTGATTCAAACCACAAGAGCATATTTACTTGAATTACTTGGTTTGGCTGTTTACAAAGATCAAATCAACTAGATTGCTCCCCACTCCTTTTCACCTTAGCCCATGAGTCCTCCAAGGTATTTCTCACCACCTCTGAGATGTGGTTAACAACTGAACAAAAATTCCTATGCTTCTCTTTGTGCATACAACAAACCTTGGGCTGCTGAAAACATAAAGTACTAAGTTCTGGCTCCTTCAGTAAAGATTGCATATATGTTAGTTTATATTCATATGTCTATCCATTCATCTTTACCCATTAATTTAATCAATGAGCCTTTTAGGCACAGGCTACTAGGTACTAATGATAAGACTGTGAGAAGAGACATAATCCCGGCCTTTGTGAGGCTCAGAGTCCAGCAGAAACACTAATAATAGGGTAATAGACGAATGGGGAGCTACAGGAGCCCTATTGAGCATACCTGGCCTCCTCTAGGATTTATTTTAGGGGATTTGAGCAGCAGTTTCTACTGATGCAATTTTATAACTGAAAGAAATAATGAGTCACAAGGCTTTGCCACTATTTATCATATTTACTTGAGTGTTGGCCTTATTTACTGTTTGTCTTATCTGTTCAATCAACTTACCCTGTCCTCGGGAACAGCCCGAACAGGTTCTGATGGACACGCAGCCAGTGAGATCAAAATTAACAAAAGTTGTGTTAGATACCATCAGTTCCCATCTTTTGGGAGTTTTGATCCCTGCTGACATACACAGGCTTCCCTATGATTCACAAGGGGGAAAAGAAGGGAAGAAAAAGAAGAGAACTAGTACAATTCGTAATGCACAAATAGAAACAATTAAGAGAATAAAAAGACAAGCTACAGACTGGGAGAAAATACAAGTCATATACACGACAAAGGATCACCATAAAATACACTGTATTTTTATGAGAATGATAAGTAAAAAATTGTGATGATACCGAATGCTAATAAGGATAAGGAACAACTAAAATTCTCATATATTGCTGGTGGGAGCACAAAATGGCACAGTCACTGTGGAAAATAGTTTGGCAGTTTCTGATCCAGTTAAACATACCCTTATCATGCGGCCTAGTAATTCAACTCCTAGGTGTTTACCTTTGAGAAATGAAAATTATGTTCAAGACTGTCAAACCTCAGAGGGAAGGCAGGGGAGGGTGGAGGAAGGATGTAGAGATCAACCGAAGGGTTTGTATGCATGTATATAAGCATAACCAATAGACACAGACACAAGGGGGGTGAGGGTATGTGCCAAAGGTTTCAAACTATCTGGTTCCTTTTATATGATTGTTGAAAAGACAGAGAATAGATGAGTGATTCCCAGGGGTTGATGTGAGAGGAGGACATGGCTACAAAGACGGAGCTGGAAGAAGTTTATGAGGTTGATGCAATTGTTCTGCATCTTGATTGTGGTGGAGGTGGTTACACCAGTCTATACATATGTTAAAAACCAGACATTGTACATCAAAAAAAAGACAGGCACTCGCTGGTTTGGCTCAGTGGATAGAGTGTCAGCCCACAGACTGAAGGGTCCCAGGATCAATTCTGGTCAAGGGCAAGTACCTCAGCTACAGGCTCCGACCCTGGTCGTGTGCAAGAGGCAACCAATCGATATGTCTCTCTCACATTGATGTTTCTCTCTCTGTGTTTCTCCTTCTTCCTTCTACTCTCTCTAAAAAGTCCGTGGGGAAAATATCCTGGGGTAAGGATTAACGACAACTACAAAAAAGTCATATACATTTTATATTTAATGTATGTTAATAAAAAAATTAAAATTTAAAAACCTAAAAAAAAATTGCTTCCAGGATTTAACCACAAAATTTCTTCAGCAAACTCCATCTAATCAAGATGTTAGTGTTCCACTGTACATTTGAGGATTAGCAGAAATTTTCAGAGACTTCCAACCGGAAAGAGTGATAGAAACAAACAAAAGAAAAACAGTGGAGAAAAAGGCAGTATAGAAATCAGGAGAAAACTTAAAATATCACCATCAATAACCACAGAGAAATAAATAGACTATATCCATGAAACAAGAAGAAGCAGCCAAAGGAAAGGAGGTGGGAGTCAGAAAGGAAAAGAGAATGAAAACAGGAGAGCAGAAATAACAAATTCAGTAAGAAAAAAATGACAAGATAGCCTAGAAAGTAGAATAAAAATACAGTTGGGAAATCAGCAAAACTTAAGATTAGAAAGCCAATTTAGGAGGTCCAAATATCCAAATAATGATAGTTTTCAAAAAAGGAAAATAAAGAGGAGAGAATTTATAAAATTCTCAAAGAAATAAGACTGAAAGTTCTCATCCAGTGCCTAACACCATGGATAGGACAAAAAGCCACACAAGGTACATCATATTGAAGTTGCAAAACATCAGGAACAAAGACAATATCCTAAAAACATCCAAAAAAGAAACTAAAAGATTACACATAAAAGACCTAGAATTAGCCCAGACGGTGTGGCAGTGGATTGAGCATCGTCCCATGACCCAAGGGGTCCCCAGTTGATTCCCGGTCAGGGCATATGCCAGGGTTGCTGCTCAATCCCCAGTAAGGGGCATGCAGGAGGCAGCCAATCAATGTTTCTCCCTCGAGAACGTTTCTTCTCTCTCTCCCTCTCCTTTCCTCTATTTAAAAATCAATAAAAACATATTTTTTTTAAAAGACCTAGAATTAGAGGACCTTAAAACTATTCAACCTCAAAACTAGAAGCTAGAAGATACTGAAACATTGCCTTCAAAATAACAATTAAAAAATGAACTTAACCCGGTATTCTATAACTGACAACCTACTAATAAGGGGTTCTCCATTTGTAGCTCAAAACCTTTACCTTCCATAGACCCTTAATTTGTTAAGAAAGTTACTATAGGCTACACTCTAATAAATGAGGGCTTAAATCAGAAAGGAGGAAGAGGTGGGAGTTAGGAGCAAGAGTTTCAATAATGGGGAGACATGGAGAAACTATCCAGGATACTGGTCAAGAGAAATACCAGGATGTAGCTGTGAAACTCCTCACCTGCATGCTAGTACAAGTGTGAACATTTGGGACTACTGTTTGGCATTATCCCCTAGAGCTGGAGGGACATCCTCTGAGCCAGCAGTTTACAACTTTACATATATTCAACAGAAGTGCATGCACATATAGAGACATCGAAGATTGTTCATAACACTTCATCTGTAATGACCCCAAACTGCAAATAATCAAATGTCTATCAAGAGCAATATAGCTTTTTTTAAAAAAAAAAAACACAAAACTGTGGTACAGTCATAAAGTAGAAAACTGCATAGCAATTAGAAGAATAAAGTATTATAACATAAAAAATGAATGAATCTTGTAGACATAGTGTCGTGCCAAGGAAACCAGACACTACAGAGCTACTTTGCTCTATGATTCCATTTATATAAACTTCAAAAACAGATCTGAAACCAATCTATGTCTATAGAAGTCTGAATAATGTCCCTCTTCAGGCAGGGGTTCGGGGGTTGGGTTAAATGAGAGGAGGCATGAGGGGCTTCAGAGGAAGTGGTAATGTTCTATTATTGACAGGGTGCTATGCACATGATTTTTGCTTTTTAAAAATCCATTGAGATCTTTGCTTGTGATTTCTGTACCTTTCTCCATTAATATTATATTTCTATAAAACTTTTATTTTATTCAGTGGGACAAAATACTACAGAAAAGTAAAACACTAGATGTGAAGGTAAAGAAAGAAAAGTGTTTGAAGTCCTTGCATTGCTCAGGTAAAGTTTAACAGTGCTGATGTAATTTAGATTTTAAGACAAGCAGGCATGTTAAAAATTTAAATCCAATAATGAACATAATTATACAGAATGAATAACTGTAAAATGAATAACTGTAAAATGAATATGACACTACTCAATGCAAGACAAATCAAGTTTAAAAAGTGGAGACAAAGAAAGCATTGCGAACTGAAAGCACAAAATGAGATGGTAGAAATAAATGCAAATGTATGGGAGACATCAGTGTGCGGATGGTAATTGAAATCACTAGAGAAAATGAGATTTCTCCCAGGGAGAGCAAGTATATTGAGAAGAGAAGGGCACCTACAACAGACTTTAGAGAAATAAAAAAATGAAAGGTCTAAATTGAGGAAGACAAATCCACCAGTGAAAATGAGAAGGGATCCCTAGAGAAATAGGAGGAAAAATTAACTAAGCCCATTAGCATCTGTCTGAATAAGATATTTTTAAAAGTAGTATCATCTGCTCAAATTAATTACAATAACAACAAAAAGGCAAGCATCCTACAGATACTTTCAAAAGCAGGGTGAGCATAATATATATCCAAAGCAGAACATTTTTGAAAGTTTGAAAGGGGGTGCTAGTTGGATAAATGCTAGGACAACCAGTTTAAACAAATTGCACAACCAAACTAGGATGGACAGTATAGTGATGATAGAGTGCATCAGTTTGTCTTGTATATTAAAGCCACCCTCACTGGAAATTATTCTACTCATCTCAATATAAAGGTAATGTTGGGTGTGAGAGTACCAACATATGCACTAACTAGAGGTCGATGCACAAAATTCGTGTAAGAGTAGGCCTCCCTTCTCCTGGCTGCTAGCACCGACTTCCCTCTGGCACCCAGGACCCGGGCTTCCCTAGCAGCCGGGGCTTTGTCCAGAAGGACGTCTGGTCTAATCAGCATATTACGCTTTAATTATTATAGATATGCTAGTTAGAGGCCAAAAAATAATAAAATTCTTTCCAATAATAACAAGGCCTTCAGAAACTATTGTTTGTTTTAGAATATGATTCACTGATAATTGTGTGCCACCAATTATATGTGGGTGGAATGTCTAAGAATAATAGGCCAAATTCTCAGAAATTCTTAATATTTAAAGAAATGGCAGGCACAGAAGTTGGAGGCTAACACCAGTTCCACAACCACAGAGGTCAAGTCTCTCCTTTTTTTAAAACAACTGACACGGTTTCTTATGTCAATAAAAGGTTCCCAAATAAATCTAAACATTATTGTGTTAAATAAAGATTCAGAGATATGGCTCTTGTTTGTTTTTCACCCTAGGCTCTGCAGAGCCTTTAATGTGTTAAAATATGATGTGAAATTCAGGGCATGAGAGGTGTGATAAACAGCATACCCTAACTGTTATTAACCTAAGAATTTCCTTTTCTTACCCTCTCTTGGGGCTAGCCTTCCATGGAAAACACATCAGGAAATACTGAAATAGGTACTAATGCATGATCATTGTCAAAGCTATTTTCCATGTGTAACTGAGAAAGTATTTGATCAGAAGTGGGAGGCCATCCAGGTGGTCCCACCTCCACACTAATAGGCATAGATCTTGGGCTTTCACTGGATTTCCTAAAGCCCCTATTTCTTCACCTGTAAATTCAAGAGTTCTAATTAGATTAACACTTCGGTAATATTTAGCTCTAAAATGACATGGTTTTAATATCTGGATGCCTAACCAGGATCTAGATCTCCCCTGGAAATTTAGCTCTAAAATGACATGGTTTTAATATCTGGATGTCTAACCAGGATCTAGATCTCCCCTGGAACCGAGTGTTTGACATTTCCCATCCAGGGGCATTTGTCCTGCACTTACTTGTTAGGAGACTAAGAGGCCCTGAGCTGTAATGCAGTCCCAGTGAATCCCGTCTCAGGGATATGATTATTTTTATTATCTCATGATAACCATCCTTTTGTCAAAATTTGTCTCTTAATTTATGTCACTCACCCATTGATTATGATGTCTACTTAGCATCAATTAAGATGTTGTGACACCGCCGTAACCGGTTTGGCTCAGTGGATAGAGCGTCAGCCTGCGGACTGAAAGGTCCCAGGTTCGATTCCGGTCAAGGGCATGTACCTTGGTTGCAGGCACATCTCCAGTGGGGAGTGTGCAGGAGGCAGCTGATCGATGTTTCTAACTCTCTATCTCTCTCTCTTCCTCTCTGTAAAAAGTCAATAAAATATATTTTAAAAAAAAGATGTTGTGACATTAATTTACCAGGACAGTTACTCAGCTTGATGGACATTTGGTTTTTAGCATCTCCTCGAAGGTTATTTTGGAAACATTTAAGAGCCTTTGAACTATGGTATATCAGAATCTAAATCTGAGTCCCATCTTCTGTTGGAAACTATGCAGTCTAAAAAAATCATTTCTCAAGGTGGTAATTCTTTCAGAGAAAAGGAAAAACTGGCAGATATTTCCCTCATGGAAAGGATGGTTCAAAAGAGATTTAACTAAGTTTGAGAATTAAACATAGAAAAATGTAGAAACCAAAGGATTTTTTAAATCTTAATATTTATATCTAGAGCTATGAAGTAATTTCAAAGGGAAGTACAAAAATCAATAATTATCATTTAAATTTCAACTGGCCAACGAATTCAGGAACAAACTAAAGAGAATGCTCTTTCCCTGGTTCTCAGAAGTACCTTAGTTCCCTTCCATCTGCGATTATTATGGCAATGCATATGCATGTACCTCTTTCAAAACAAGGACTGAGGGGACCCACTATAGGTCTGAAGCCTTACTGAGACCAATGGGAACCATGGGCTTCCCTGGAGGAGAAGAGGTACTTCTCTTCTGGGAGGAACTCTTTGCCTCATCTACAGTGTGGTATCCTGGCCTTGCAGTGCCACAGACGTGATCTACAGTCTTTATGTTTATCATGTAGAAATCCACAGTTAAAAAAAAGAGAGAGAAAGAGAGAGAGACAACAGGCCAAGATGGAGTCACTTTTGCTTAGCCAAGTCACCAAACCAAAGCTAATAATTAACCGAACTGCAGTTTCAGCCTCTCTCAGGAATGGAATGTTAAACTAATCAGTCTGAAGTTTCCTGAGCATCACTGGTGAGGCAAAATCTGCTTGGTAAAACCACTGCCCTTCCCTCCGCCAAAGATGACCTGGTTTATAAATAATCCTTTCGTTTCCTTTGCTAAGAACTCCCCTGTGTGTGTTGGGAGGGAGGCGGGGTTGATTGAGCAAACGAAAAATAGAGAAGAGCCCTAACCAGTTTGGCTCAGTGGATAGAGCGTTGACCTGCGGACTGAAAGGTCCCAGGTTCAATTCTGGTCAAGGGCAAGTACCTTGGTTGTGGGCACATCCCCAGTAGGAGGTGTGCAGGAGGGATCTGATCGATGTTTCTAACTCTCTATCCCTCTCCCTTCCTCTCTGCAAAAAATCAATAAAAATATATTTTTAAAGAGAGAGAGAGAGAGAGAGCGAGAGAGAGCGAGCGCTCATGGACAGGTATAAAGTGGATAAATGGAGATGGGAAAAATAAAATAAAGTGGAGGGAGGTGGAGGGAGAACTCCCCTGCCACACCCTTTTGCCTCTAAAAACCTTGTGTTTTGTACAACCAGTCAGAGCTTTCTTTACTTAGGATACTTCCCTGTTCATGAATCGCGTAATAAAGCCAATTAGATCTTCAAATTTACTTTGTTGAATTTTGTTCTTTAACACCACACTTAAGGAAGTATTAGGGAGTCACATAAGAGGTAGTACACTATAGTAAACAATGTAAATTTATATTACCTATTTTGGGGGGGCACCCTAAATAGAGTAGTAAGGACCCTATGAACAAAATGTTGCTGTAGAAACTTGGCAAACCACGATGCAGAGAGACAATATGAAATCATGCTATTCTATAATTATTGTGAGGTTAGAATAAACTAACTTAAAATTATTAGATGTATTATTTAATTGGTATGGATAATAATGCTACATTGCAACCAAATGAAAATTCTGCAAGCTACTCATGACTTTTATGATTTATATTAACTTATAACATTGAATCCTTGGATATATTTGAATTTTATTATAAATACTACCACTGTTACAAATAAAAAGCTCCTCTAACTTTTACCAGTTAAATATTAAGATTCACTGAAGAATGCTATTAAAATTACATATCCTGGGTCACCAGGGAGCCCATCACATAAGATGCTGTTGATGGACAGCTAAAACAACCACACTTAGGTACTTACCTGGTGAGCAAAATGACCAAGGAATAAGCTGTCAGTAACTAAAGTTTTTGCATCACTTTCCAAGATATCAATTCCAAAATCTCTGCATGAATAAACCTGGAAGTTTTTCAGGTGAAGATTGCTACTTCTAAAAATCTGTTTAAAAAAATCAGCATATGTTATGGATAGTTCTCAGGCTTGGCTTTGCTTGCAGATTTATTAATTAAGTATAAATAAGCATGCTTTTGCCCATCGATATCTGCACAGACATCCCAAAGTTGCCGTGAGGTCAGCACTAACTAGTCCTCTCTAGTAACACCCCCTCTATACTTTTCATTTCTCCTCATAATAATTGACACATTAAAAAGGTCAATGTGAATTCTTCACATTTCTAAAATAAACTTGCCATTTCCAAATTACACAAAATTAGTGGAGAAAAATATAGCATCCAAGAACCCCAGTATTTAACATTTTCTTCAGTAGTATATATTAACTAATATTGTCAGAAAATTGTAAATGTGAAATAAGTAATTGAACATGACTACAGACTCAAAATACGTTCTGTGAACATATATTTATGACAGGTTATGTTGGCAGGCCCAAACTGGGATCAAGTATTAACAAAATTAGATTAATAAAGTTGAAAGAATCCCAGTAATTTGTGGTACAGAACCCTTCATTTTCACCTAGCACTGATATTAACGAACTAGGTGATCTTGGAAAAGATATCTAACTTCTCCTTAGGCCTCATTCAACCATCTTTAAACCAGGGTGGTGATCAGGACTAACAATTAACCTAACAGAATCATTCCTTATTCATTAAATAGGGTCATGGTTGCCTTTATATCTTTAAAGTGAAAGTTTCCTATTAATTAAGGCCAAGGTAGCCTTGATTTATCATAGTATTGTGCTTTATGCTAGAATTTTCAAGAATTAAATAGCTTGCATTTCCCATTTTGAATGCACCAATAACTTATAAAATGATAGATTTTTGAAGATACAAAGCTTTACTTAAGTAAAATAGGTATGATCTTGTCACAATTGTTACTCAATTACAGGTATCTCAAGTTCTGGCAAATAACTCATATTTAAAAACAGCTAACATCTGGCATTAACTGGAGAACCTGGTAATTACTAAAGGAAATCAACACCTAATAGCAAAAAAGTCCCTATTTATAGTATAAATACAGCTTTCATAATGTGTTCTCATCTTGCTCTCCCTCCTCTAAAAGAATCACTCTGCATTTATGATACATGATGAGGAGAGGGTATTTTTCTCAATTTTTATTAACATACATACAGAAGGGTCAGATTGCCTAAGTTGGGATCCAGCAATTCTTAGCTGTGTGACATGAGCACATATTTTACCCCTAACCCAGTGAGTTTTCTTATCTACAAAAGGAGGATAATAATAATGCTTCCCCCAAAGGTTAAGATGATTAACTGAGAAAATATACAAAAATATTAGCTATCAAGATCATCAAATAGATATAAATTTATATTTACTCACAGTAGAAATTTTACCTGCTGGAATATTCTGTTTAAGTATCTATATATAAGACACTTATGTCTAATGACAAGAATACAGTCTGACAATAATGAAAACTATCTAATAATGAAAGTTTAAGAAATTTTAAAACAATGTGCTTCTTATGATGCAGAAGGCACTTCTAAATGTTACCATTTCCAGAGTCATCATTATTATCAACATCGCTCTATCACCACCCAACACTGTTTATTAACAACAGTTATTATTATACACCCAGCAAGACTGGGGCACTTTTCTAGGCACTTTATATGCAGGCACTTATCTCACTCACAAAACAACCTTATCATTTAGGTTCTATAACTATTTGCATTTTACGAATGAGAAAGAAATAGGGAATTTGCCTAAGGTCACACGGATAGGAAGAGGGAACATTTGAGTTTACATGGCTATGTACAGAAGAGGTTGTTGTTGTTTTTTTTCTTTTTTAACAGCTTTATTAATATACACACACCATACAATTCACCTATTAAAAGTTTACAATTAAAAGGTTTTAGGAGAGAGACCAAGATGGTGGCATAGGTAAACACCGCAGACTGCTCCTAACCCAGTGAGTTTTCTTATCTACAAAAGGAGGATAATAATAATGCTTCCCCCAAAGGTTAAGATGATTAACTGAGAAAATATACAAAAATATTAGCTATCAAGATCATCAAATAGATATAAATTTATATTTACTCACAGTAGAAATTTTACCTGCTGGAATATTCTGTTTAAGTATCTATATATAAGACACTTATGTCTAATGACAAGAATACAGTCTGACAATAATGAAAACTATCTAATAATGAAAGTTTAAGAAATTTTAAAACAATGTGCTTCTTATGATGCAGAAGGCACTTCTAAATGTTACCATTTCCAGAGTCATCATTATTATCAACATCGCTCTATCACCACCCAACACTGTTTATTAACAACAGTTATTATTATACACCCAGCAAGACTGGGGCACTTTTCTAGGCACTTTATATGCAGGCACTTATCTCACTCACAAAACAACCTTATCATTTAGGTTCTATAACTATTTGCATTTTACGAATGAGAAAGAAATAGGGAATTTGCCTAAGGTCACACGGATAGGAAGAGGGAACATTTGAGTTTACATGGCTATGTACAGAAGAGGTTGTTGTTGTTTTTTTTCTTTTTTAACAGCTTTATTAATATACACACACCATACAATTCACCTATTAAAAGTTTACAATTAAAAGGTTTTAGTACATTCACAGATATGTGCAACTATCACCAGACTCAATTTCAGAACATTTTCACTTCAAGAAGAAACACCATATCCTTTAGCCCTGAGCAACCATTAATCCTCTTTCTGTCTCTATAGATTTCTCTCTTCTGGTCTTTCATATGAGTGGAATCACATAGTATGTGGGCTTTGTGACTGGCTTCTTTTCCTTACATAATGTTTTCAAGGTTCATCCATGTTGCAGTATAGTACTTCATTCATTTTATGGCTGATATTATTCCACTGTCTTAAGGTACCATACTATATTTATCCATTTGTCCACCTTTTAGCTATTATGAATAACACTGCTATAAACATTTGTGTATATGTTTCTGTGAGGATATATGATTTTATTTTTCTTTGATATATACCTAGGAGTAAAATTAATGGATCATATGGTATCTTTGGTAATCACTTGAGAAACTGCCAGGCTGTTTTCCAAAGCATCTAGACCATTTTAAATTCTCACCAGCAGTGTATGAAGGTTCCGTAGGAAATGGGCCTCTGTGATCCACCTCTAGCATGGCCGGCTTTTGATGGAAATGGTTGCTGCGTTTCCCCAGGGCAAACAGAATGTAGGGAGGGACGAGGATGTAAGAGCAAGGAGCTGTGGATGTGGTCCAGCATCATGGTGGAGGCAACTAGAAAGGGCCTCGGCCCAACTTTTTTTTGAATGGCTCAATGGGAGACAGTAAGACTTAGGCAACGTATGAGGAAACAGGTGACCCCATAGTACTCAGACAATGATGAAGCAGAGGAGGGACTGAATAAATGGGCTGTGTTCACTGTCCCGGGTGTCCCTGTACAACTGGATAGACACCTGCTCTTGAGAACGTATAAGTCTCGTTTTCGCCATACTTCTGTCTCTGAGTCTGTTATTTGAATTTAAACAAGTGAGCATTTCTCACAGTTCCAATTTCTCAAAATCTTTGCCAACACTTACCACTTATATTCTAGCCATCAGGGTATGAAGTGGTCGTATCTCACTGTGGTTTTGCATCTCTAATAACTGATTATGTTGAACATATTTTCATATGCATATTGGCCATTTGTGAATCGCTGGGGAAATGTCTTTGCTCATTTTTTAATTGGGTTATTTATATTTTTATCATAAGAATTCTCTATTTATTCTAGATATAAGCCCTTTTCATATATGACTTGCAGATACTGTTTCCCATTCCATCGGCTGTATTTTCACTTCTTAATGGGATCCATTGAAACATACATTTTTAATTTTGATAAAGTTAAACTTATCTTATTTTCTTTTGTTCCTTTTTCTTTTGGTGTCATATCCAAGGATCTGTTGCTTAATCCAAAATCATAAAGATTTACTCCTTTGTTTTCTTCTATCAGTTTTATAATTTTTTTGCTCTAACGTTTAGGTTTTTGGAGCATTTTGAGTTAATTTTTGTTAATAGTATGATGAAAAGATCCAGTTTAAATCCTTTGCATGTGTCTCTCTATTTGTTCCAGCGCCATTTGTTGAAAAGATTATTATTTCCTCCATTGATTGGTCTTGGCATCCTTGTCAGAAATCAGTTGACCATAGTATGGTTTATTTCCGGACTTAATTCTATTCTATTGAACTATATTTCTATCTTTGTGCCAATACCACACTATCTAAATGTACTATTGCTTTATAGTATGTTTTGAAATAAGAAAGTGTAGGTCCACCTTATTTTTTTCAGATTGTTCTGGGGGAAGTTACTTTAATTACTTTCCTTTTAATTACTTTCCTTTACTTTACTCATAAAAGTGAAGTTCCAAAAGCATTCTCATTATCTGGACTTTTAGTGCACAAGAGTTTAATCTTTAAGGATAGACTTTTTTCATGAATTCAGCACTCTGGTTACAGAACTTGAGAAAACTGATTTTAATGATTTCCCTTTAATATTTTTGTTTCATTAGGTTATTTCCTCTAGAACAAGGTTATTCAAGAGCATGGAGATAGAATTTAAGCTTCTGTAAGACATGATTGCTTCTCTGCATAAGAGGGCACTCAACAAATGTTTCTACTAGATTCTCACCCCTACATTTATAGTGCTTATGGAAAACAATGAACATTATAAAACTAAATGAGAATACTAAATATAATTGGCAATCCCTGTGTTAACTACCCTAATTATATGTTTTGGGGTTTTCCCCATTCAAAATTATCTTCCTCTTATTGGATATATAAAGTAAATATCTAACGTTTTTATTGTGACTTAATTTTACATTTTTATTCTGTTTCCTGGGTGCCCTGTAAATATATTTCTTCATCTATGTTTGCAGCTTATGCTCCAGATTTCTAAGTGACAGAGACTAAATGTATGTAATGTTCTCAGTGTGGCACCAAATAGTGACGCTGGATGATTTTGTATGTTGCTGATAACAATGAACAAGCAAAGCTTACATGTAAGAAATCACTGTGATAATGAAAGATAAAAGACTGAATGTGAACTTTTCTCCCTTTTGAACAAAATAGAAGAAAATTTGACTCACTGATAAAAGTAAGCAAAGCACTTTGAACTGGAATTTTTGTGTTCCAATGATAGATTATAAAGTTTTTATCTAACAGCTCTCAGCAGTCCTAGGATCTTCTTCTTATGATTGAAACATGTATTAGCCAAGATATTAGGGTAGCAAATGCACAACATATGGAGTCTGGATTCTGTACCTGGTTGTGCCACTAACTATGTGACCATTAGCAAATTCATTTGCTTTCTGAGCTTTATTTTTTTTTTTATATCTAAATAGGCATGGTAAGGGAGAAATAGATGACTTTTATGATCCCTCCTGGTGGTAAATCTAGATACTAATGCTTTTGTTCTCTATTACAGCTGCTTAAAAGTCTCTATAAAGGAAGTCAACTAACCCTTGCTTAGTAACTAGTAATTTGTTCATCAACAACTATTCCACATACACCTATAATGCTGTTGGTTCCTTAAAACTATGATGATATTACAATGCTTCCCTCAGCAGCAACTCATCTCCCTTTATATAGCAATCTATATATATAAAAGGCTAAGTGACTGTCCAACTCAGTGTACCTATGATGTGTACTGACCACCAGGAGGCAGACACTCAATGCAGGAGCTGCCAAGCTGCGGTGACTTGTCAGCAGCGGTTCTCAGGTGACACACCCTGGAACCAGAGAGGAGGGAATCCGATTCCTTGATTCCTTGTGGGGCAGCACTATTCTACCTTCGGCCATGGGTGCATGAATCAGTGCACCGGGCTACTAGTGTACAATAAATCAACATGAGAAAACAACATTTTTCATAAAAAATTAAAAAACTAAAGAAACTTACCTGCACACCACCTGCACTTCCCCAAACCCTGAAGTTTTGGAACAGGGTGGGGCCAGTGTCATTTTCCCAAGGTGGCTGAAACTTAGGGTAGACAAAGAGTCCATATCTAGAAAGTGAAACAAAGAGTGGAATTTAGTCAGTTTCTGTGTTTCAAACACCCTACTTTTTTCTCATTGGAAAATATCAAAGTAAAAGTAATGAATAAATTCTCCCCCTTGCTAGGAAAGTGGATACTCTCCAACTTTTGTTCTTTTCCCAGAAGTGCCTTACCATTTTAGGGTTCTGTGTACTTTCTTCCCTCATATCCCAGAACTGATGAGAGCTGCTAGATACAAACTTCATAATCTTAATGATAATTTCATGACACGTGTACTAATCCTTGCCTCAGCTTCAACATGGCGTAACAATTGTCCTTAATCCTTCTCATTTTCCATTATAGCACTATTCCTATCCTATTATCATCATAAGTATTTATAGCTTTCAACTATTGAATTCCTACTGTATTCCAGGTGTTCTCTTAGGTGCATTGCATAAGCTCTAATGGGCACATCCAACTTCCAATGTAGATTATGTTTCCATTTTACAAATAAGGGATCTGACTCTAAAAAATAAATAAATAAATAAATAAATAAATAAATAAAATAAATAAGCAATTCAGTAGGAGTAAGTCAGGATTTGAATCAGGGTCTGGCTGACTGAAGTTTGTATTTTTCCCACCATTCTCAAATTCCCTACTCTACCTTGTTTCCCATGCCCTTGACCTTAGTGGATGACATTACCCTCTACATAACAAAGACTTTGGACAGTTCCTTCTCATCTCACAGTCTGCCAGTAACAAGTGAAGAGCCTCTTCTCCAAGAGCCTCTTCCCACTCAGTTCCTGAGCCCAGGCACTCAAGCCTCCCAGGGACTCTGTGTTACCAGTTGCTTCTTATCTCTTGGAAGTTTAATTACTCTCTCTATTGAATTCTCCTCTGGCCACAAAAGGTGCATCTTGTCTTGCTGCCCTCTTAAGTGACTTCCTTCTCCATTTTCCTCCCTTCACCACCAAACTTGTATGATCCAAAATGGTCTGCAGCTGCATCATCAAATCGCATATGAATGTTAAGTTATTCCCTCTCAGGAGTTTTGTACAAAAAAAAAAACTAAACCATAAGCCTCATACCCAATATGTAGATTAATTTCCCTAAAGTTACCTTGTACAAGAATGTGCAATATTCCCAGTGAAGGAGAGAAGTGGAGCTTGTGAAGTTTGGTTGGTCACAAGATGGAAAAAGTAGCCAAAACCAGCATCACACACTGCGTTTCCCTAGGGAAATTAAGGATAATTAAATAATAGTTACTACACATACAACAAAGTTAGTGGAAATAAAGTCTCATATACCTGCTCATCCTGATTTTTCTTTCACTTCCTGCCAAGGTATGTTGACATTTTATGGACTCATTTACTCTTTACTCACCCATTCCCCATATTCTCCCAGGAAACAAAAATGTTCTCATTCCTCTTCTTCCAAGCAGCTCAACTAGACTGTAATTTGCCCACCTCAATAACTGGACTCTTAGGTTAAAGTGGAAACGTCCAGTGAGAAACTTAATTACATAATCTAATCCAAGCTCTTTGGTATATGCAAGCATATACATGTTCCACCAGGAATACCAACACATGTGGGTGCACACACGCTCACACACAATGCACACAGAACCAAGCAAAGTCAATATGGAAGAAAAAAATGAAATAAATTGTTTTAAAACCACCAGTACTCAACTCCTGCCTCGTGCGAGAGGGGGAACCAATACCCCAATGCTCCAATCCCTGGAGGTTGCCAGTCTCTGGGGAAGTGTGAGTAAGGGCCAGCACTAAGACTGGAAGCCTGGCCAGCAGGCACCAGCCAGGACCTGATGGGGCAGCCAGCACTTCCTGACATAATCAACAGTGCTGTTTCCTTAGCTTTAGCTATTTTTCACCATGGGTTCCAAGGCTTTCTCACCCTGATATTTGTAGTTAGCCAGTCACTCCTCATTTTCCGCTCAGTTATGGAACTATTTTCTTCCTCTGTGGACAAGGGACCCATTCCCTTCTGGATTCTGAACATTTCCCCAATTTTCTGAGGCCATTTAAAATTCTAAACACATGTTTCATCTGCCACATTGTATTCAGCAAAAGTGACTTTTGGGTACCACTGAATGTGAAGGTGAATTACTATTGAAGATGCTAATGTGACTTCAAGGAACCAGGGCCATTGCTAAGACTCCACTTATCTTGAGGTGGCATAGTCTAGAGTGGTGGCTGTCAATTGGATGATTTTATTCCTCAGGGAGCATTTGGAAGCCTCTAAAGACATTTTTGGTGGTCACAACTCAGGTAGAGGGAAGCTATTGGCATTCAGTGAGTTGTGACCAGGGCAGCCTCTCATAGCAAAGAATTACATGACCCAAAATGGTGCTACTGCCACAGTGGAGAAACCCTGGTCTACAGTCTAGACTGGAAGTATGTACTCTCAAAATAATTCACACCTACTTTCTAGTATCCCATCTCCAAATTTTGATGGAAATACCAACCTAAATATAAAATCATGGTTAATTACAATAAGAATGCTTTGGCAATCTTTACCAGGAGGATATTAATATCTTTTCTTTTTTAAAATGTATCTTTATTGTTGAAAGTATTACATATGTCCCCTTTTTCCTCATTGAC